GGTGTCTATGGACAACAGGCTCCTCGGCTTGGAAATGGAACAAGAGCACCTCCCCATGGCCAGAGTTGAGCACTGCCTCCAGAAGCTGGAAATGAAAGGAGAAGCCTATATCTTTGTTCTGTATATTTCTATGTCATTATTATTCCACTGTATTAAAGGCATTGAATGTTTGCCTATCTGTGTATGTTATAATCTGCTCTGAGTCCCCTCGGGGAGATAGAACGGAATATAAATAAAGTATTACTAGTACTAGTACTACTACTACTAGCTTGGAGATCCAGCAATGCCTGGATTATTTGAAAAAGACATTGTTTTTGTTTTTGTTTTTTTGGATTTTAGGTATTCTCCATTTGGTGTGGATGAACTTGTTGTTGTTGTTCATTCATTCAGTCATCTCCGACTCTTCGTGACCTCATGGACCAGCCCACGCCAGAGCTCCCTGTCAGCCGTCACCACCCCCATTTCCTTCAAGGTCAGTCCAGTCACTTACAGTTCCCCAAATTGTGGGTCAGTTCTCCCCGAACGCTGTCAGTATTCAAAGATGGCCCTTTTGGGTCTGTGCACCAAATTTAACCCAAAGGGGACACAGAGAGGCTTATAAGATATACATACATACAATATATTATATTATTAGCATAGCACAGGACAATGTGGAACTGTCTTCCTGGCCCCCCCTCTCTTCACTCTGTCAAATTCATGCACTTTGATCCCACTTTATTTATTTACTACATTTATATGCCGCCCTCCTCACCCCAAAGGGCACTCAGAGAGGCTTATTAGATATATATACATACACTATATTATATTATTAGCATGGCACAGGATAATGTGGAACTGTCTTCCTGGCCCCCTCTCTTATTCCTGCTTCTTGGCAGGGGGTTGGATGGGATGGCTGATGAGGTCTCCTCCAACTCTTTGATTCTGTGCCGCCCTCCTCACCCCAAAGCAGACTCAGAGAGGCTTATTAGATATATATACACACAATATATTATATTATTAGTATAGCACAGGACACTGAGGAACTGTCTTCCTGGCCCCTCTCTTATTCCTGCTTCTTGGCAGGGGGTTGGACTGGGTGGCCCATGAGGTCTCTTCCAACTCTTTGATTCTATGCCGCCCTCCTCACCCCAAAGCAGACTCAGAGAGGATTATAAGACGACGTGGAACTGTCTTCCTGTCAGGGGTGATTTGAATGCTTCTTGGCAGGGGGTGGGACTGGATGGCCCATGAGGTCTCTTCCAACTCTTTGATTGTATGATTCATCTCCTCACCCCAAACGGGACTCAGAGAGGCTTATAAGACAATGTGGAACTGTCTTCCTGGCCCCCCCTCTTATTCCTGCTTCTTGGCAGGGGGTTGGACTGGATGGCCCATGAGGTCTCTTCCAACTCTGCTTCTATGCCGCCCTCCTCACCCCAAAGGGGACTCAGAGAGGCTTATAAGACAATGCGGAACTGTCTTCCTGGCCCCCTCTCTCTTCACTCTGTCAAATTCATGCACTTTGATCCCACTTTATTTATTTACTACATTTATATGCTGCCCTCCTCACCCCAAAGGGGACTCAGAGAGGATTATAAGATATATATACATACAATATATTATATTATTAGCATAGCACAGGACAATGTGGAACTGTCTTTCTGGCCCCCTCTCTTATTCCTGCTTCTTGGCACGGGGTTGGACTGGATGGCCCATGAGGTCTCTTCCAACTCTGCTTCTATGCCGCCCTCCTCACCCCAAAGGGGACTCAGAGAGGCTTATAAGACAATGCGGAACTGTCTTCCTGGCCCCCTCTCTCTTCACTTCTTGGCAAGGGGTTGGACTGGATGGCCCATGAGGTCTCTTCCAACTCTTTGATTCTATGCCGCCCTCCTCACCCCAAAGGGGACTCAGAGAGGCTTATAAGACAATGTGGAACTGTCTTCCTGGCCCCCCTCTCTCTTCACTCTGCCAAATTCATGGCTTATAAGATATATGCCGCCCTCCTCACCCCAAAGGGGACTCAGAGAGGCTTATAAGATATATATATACATACAATATATTATATTATTAGCATAGCACAGGACAATGTGGAACTGTCTTTCTGGCCCCCTCTCTTATTCCTGCTTCTTGGCACGGGGTTGGACTGGATGGCCCATGAGGTCTCTTCCAACTCTGCTTCTATGCCGCCCTCCTCACCCCAAAGGGGACTCAGAGAGGCTTATAAGACAATGCGGAACTGTCTTCCTGGCCCCCTCTCTCTTCACTCTGTCAAATTCATGCACTTTGATCCCACTTTATTTATTTACTACATTTATATGCTGCCCTCCTCACCCAAAGGGGACTCAGAGAGGATTATAAGATATATATACATACAATATATTATATTATTAGCATAGCACAGGACAATGTGGAACTGTCTTTCTGGCCCCCTCTCTTATTCCTGCTTCTTGGCACGGGGTTGGACTGGATGGCCCATGAGGTCTCTTCCAACTCTGCTTCTATGCCGCCCTCCTCACCCCAAAGGGGACTCAGAGAGGCTTATAAGACAATGCGGAACTGTCTTCCTGGCCCCCTCTCTCTTCACTCTGTCAAATTCATGCACTTTGATCCCACTTTATTTATTTACTACATTTATATGCTGCCCTCCTCACCCCAAAGGGGACTCAGAGAGGATTATAAGATATATATACATACAATATATTATATTATTAGCATAGCACAGGACAATGTGGAACTGTCTTTCTGGCCCCCTCTCTTATTCCTGCTTCTTGGCACGGGGTTGGACTGGATGGCCCATGAGGTCTCTTCCAACTCTGCTTCTATGCCGCCCTCCTCACCCCAAAGGGGACTCAGAGAGGCTTATAAGACAATGCGGAACTGTCTTCCTGGCCCCCTCTCTCTTCACTCTGTCAAATTCATGCACTTTGATCCCACTTTATTTATTTACTACATTTATATGCCGCCCTCCTCACCCCAAAGGGGACTCAGAGAGGATTATAAGATATATATACATACAATATATTATATTATTAGCATAGCACAGGACAATGTGGAACTGTCTTTCTGGCCCCCTCTCTTATTCCTGCTTCTTGGCACGGGGTTGGACTGGATGGCCCATGAGGTCTCTTCCAACTCTGCTTCTATGCCGCCCTCCTCACCCCAAAGGGGACTCAGAGAGGCTTATAAGACAATGCGGAACTGTCTTCCTGGCCCCCTCTCTCTTCACTCTGTCAAATTCATGCACTTTGATCCCACTTTATTTATTTACTACATTTATATGCTGCCCTCCTCACCCCAAAGGGGACTCAGAGAGGATTATAAGATATATATACATACAATATATTATATTATTAGCATAGCACAGGACAATGTGGAACTGTCTTTCTGGCCCCCTCTCTTATTCCTGCTTCTTGGCACGGGGTTGGACTGGATGGCTCATGAGGTCTCTTCCAACTCTGCTTCTATGCCGCCCTCCTCACCCCAAAGGGGACTCAGAGAGGCTTATAAGACAATGCGGAACTGTCTTCCTGGCCCCCTCTCTCTTCACTCTGTCAAATTCATGCACTTTGATCCCACTTTATTTATTTACTACATTTATATGCTGCCCTCCTCAACCCAAAGGGGACTCAGAGAGGATTATAAGATATATATACATACAATATATTATATTATTAGCATAGCACAGGACAATGTGGAACTGTCTTTCTGGCCCCCTCTCTTATTCCTGCTTCTTGGCACGGGGTTGGACTGGATGGCCCATGAGGTCTCTTCCAACTCTGCTTCTATGCCGCCCTCCTCACCCCAAAGGGGACTCAGAGAGGCTTATAAGACAATGCGGAACTGTCTTCCTGGCCCCCTCTCTCTTCACTCTGTCAAATTCATGCACTTTGATCCCACTTTATTTATTTACTACATTTATATGCTGCCCTCCTCACCCAAAGGGGACTCAGAGAGGATTATAAGATATATATACATACAATATATTATATTATTAGCATAGCACAGGACAATGTGGAACTGTCTTTCTGGCCCCCTCTCTTATTCCTGCTTCTTGGCACGGGGTTGGACTGGATGGCCCATGAGGTCTCTTCCAACTCTGCTTCTATGCCGCCCTCCTCACCCCAAAGGGGACTCAGAGAGGCTTATAAGACAATGCGGAACTGTCTTCCTGGCCCCCTCTCTCTTCACTCTGTCAAATTCATGCACTTTGATCCCACTTTATTTATTTACTACATTTATATGCCGCCCTCCTCACCCCAAAGGGGACTCAGAGAGGATTATAAGATATATATACATACAATATATTATATTATTAGCATAGCACAGGACAATGTGGAACTGTCTTTCTGGCCCCCTCTCTTATTCCTGCTTCTTGGCACGGGGTTGGACTGGATGGCCCATGAGGTCTCTTCCAACTCTGCTTCTATGCCGCCCTCCTCACCCCAAAGGGGACTCAGAGAGGCTTATAAGACAATGCGGAACTGTCTTCCTGGCCCCCTCTCTCTTCACTCTGTCAAATTCATGCACTTTGATCCCACTTTATTTATTTACTACATTTATATGCTGCCCTCCTCACCCCAAAGGGGACTCAGAGAGGATTATAAGATATATATATACATACAATATATTATATTATTAGCATAGCACAGGACAATGTGGAACTGTCTTCCTGGCCCCCTCTCTCTTCACTCTGTCAAATTCATGCACTTCACTCCCACTTAATTTGCCATGGCTCAATGGATTGGATTCATAGTTTGTTGAAGCACTATTTAGCAAGGGATGTTGTAAAACAAGAACTCCCACGACTCCATTTCGTGGTGTCAAACTGCATTCATTCTCTTGCTTGCTTGTTTTTTCCCACCCAAACGAACAATGTCCCCCAGGAAATCTCCATTAGCAAGTCTCAAAATAGTGCCTTTTTCGTCGTCTAATGGCAGACTTGTCGCTCCTCTGTCGCATTTTATTTTATTGAGCTGCACAGAGGATTGGGAGGGAGGGGAGTATGTGGGAGGCGAGCATTGAGAGGAAATTGAGGCTAATAAAAGCTTCCTTCCTCTGAAAACAACTCACTTCCCCGCTCTCCAAAACCCAGCGCTCTGCAGCCCCTGGAACCAGCATTGCTGTTACCTGGATTAAAACACACCAAATTGGGTAATTGCTTTTTAAATATTATGATTCTGGCTGGAGGTAAATACATGAAATGGGAACGTGGGTGTTGGCAGAACTCCTGGCAAAGCGAAGGCAAAGTATATTTATTGCATTTCATGTCATTTCAGAGGCCTGTGCTCGGATGGTTGCCTTGACCAGAGTTGTTGTTCTGTGCCTTCAAATTATTTCCGACTGAGCCAACAGCGTGATGTGGCAGCTCAAAAAGCCAATGCGATTCTAAAGCAAAGGTTTCTCCTGACATGAAGTCCAGTCGTGTCCACATGAACGTGGGCACAGCAGCAGCTGCAACTCAGAAGCTTTCTCATTTCTTTGCTTTTCCCCCTTCCTAACATTGTAACTAATCCTCCCAATAAAAAGTATCAATTAATTGTAACCTTTCTCTCTCCATAGTGTTACTTTGTATCCTTTGCTGCCTCAAAGCTTCTCTTTCAATAAACCTTTCAATAAAGGCCAAAACTACTTTCCCTTAAACCGCGGATACGGAAACCCCCTTCGGGGCCCCGTATCCGCGGGTCAACCGATCGCCTTGAAAATGGTGTCAGTCTTCTCTTGGAAGAATTCTAAGACTAATGGCTATCTCGGTTTCGCTCCGCTGTCCTTTCAGCCCAGGGAATAACCTTTTTTGCCCCCAAAACCATGTCCTGGAGTCCAGCTGTTTTTCTGAAGACACTGCCTCGCTGCCACCATTTTGTGGGGGTTGGTGCTCATCTCCATTTCTAAGCTGAAGAACTGGCATTGTCCGTAGATGTCTCCAAGGTCATGTGGTCAGCATGACTGCATGGAGTGCTGTTACCTTCCCGCTGAAGCAGTACCTATTGCTCTACTCACATTTGCATTCTTAAAATCTGGAGATCATGTAGTCCAATATGCTGCTCATAGAATCATAGAATCAAAGAGTTGGAGGAGACCTCATGGGCCATCCAGACCAACCCCCTGCCAAGAAGCAGGAACACTGCATTCAAATCACCCCTGACAGATGGCCATCCAGCCCCTGTTTAAAAGCTTCCAAAGAAGAAGCCTCCACCACACTCCGGGGCAGAGAGTCCCACTGCTGAATGGCTCTCACAGTCAGGAAGTTCTTCCTCATGTTCAGATGGAATCTCCTCTCTTGTAGTTTGAAGCCATTGCTCCGCGTCCTAGTCTCCAAGGAAGCAGAAAACAAGCTTGCTCCCTCCTCCCTGTGGCTTCCTCTCACATATTTATACATGGCTATCATATCTCCTCTTGGCCTTCTCTTCTTCAGGCTAAACATGCCCAGCTCCTTAAGCCGCTCCTCATAGGGCTTGTTCTCCAGACCCTTGATCATTTTAGTCGCCCTCCTCTGGACACATTCCAGCTTGTCAATATCTCTCTTGAATTGTGGTGCCCAGAATTGGACACAGTCCAGACTTTGCTTGCTGTTACCTTCCCACCGGAGCAGTACCTATCGATCGACTCACATTTGCATGTTTTTGAACTGCTAGGTTGGCAGAAGCTAGGGCTAACAGTGGGAGCGTACCCCGCTCCCTGGATTCGAACCACTGACCTTTCGGTCAGTAAGTTCATCAGCTCAGCAGTTTAATCCTGTTAATTGCTGTTAATTGTATATTTATGTTTTGATGTGGGCGCCATGGCGTGCCACTTTGTTAGCCATCCTGAGTCCCTCTGCGGAGGTTGAGAAAGGACGGGATATAAAAGCCCTAAATAAGTAATAAGAAATAATAATCTACTGTGCCACCAGGGGGCCCAATATATAATATACTAGTGTTATTACAATGTTACTATTTCTATATATTATTATATTGATTATTATTATTATTATTATTATTATTATTATTATTATATTGTATAAAGGTAAAGGTTTCCCCTTGACATTAAGTCTAGTTGAGTTCAACTCTGGGGTGTGGTGCTCATCTCCATTTCTAAGCCGAAAGCTGGCGTTGTCCGTAGACACCTCCAAGTGTTGCCCATGCCTGGTCTACACTGGAGAATTAATGCAGTTTGACCCCACTGTATCTGTCATGGCTCAGTGCTATAGAATCCTGGGATTTATAGTTTAGCTTTGCTGCCAAAGAGTATTGGTGCCTCACCCACCTACAGAATCTATAGTTCCATAGCCATACACACACATACATATTTTCACCTTTATTATATGCGTATATAGATAGATTAAAATACTAATTGAACCCAATGGCTCCCTCTGTTGGCCACATGAGGCATAGCTGCATGGAGGTTGCCCTGAAAAACTATGAATTTTGACCCCCTCCAATCAGGAGACACTAATGGCCTTCCCTCCAATGACATTGGAGGTTATAGTGAGCGCCATGGATATGTCCAAGAGCCCTGCCTACATCCTTCACGAACACCATGATGCCCACCACCCAAGTGACAATTTCATCCCAGATTTTGTGTGTTTCCTCCACCACAGACATCCCAGTGTTTCTTATTCTCTCCATTGGTGTGGGATTTGCATGACCCCGCCCACTCTTTCCTACTCTTTTCTGTGGAGCACAGAAGGTGAAGGTTTCCCCTGACATTAAGTCTAATCGTGTCCAACTCTGTGGGGGTGGCGCTCATTTCAATTTCTAAGCCGAAGAGCTGGTATTATCCCTAGACGCCTCCAAAGTCATGTGGCCAGCATGACTGCATGGAGCACCGTTACCTTCCTACAGAAGCAGTACCAATTCATCCACTCACATTTGTATGTTTTCGAACTGCTAGGTTGGCAGAAGCTTAGGCTGACAGTGGAAGCTCACGCTGCTCCCCGGATTTGAATCGCTGAGCTTTTGGTCAGTAAGTTCAGCAGCTCAGCGGTTTAACCTGCTGCGCCATTGGGGGGCTCCATACTATTATATAATATACTGTACTATATGATGTCATAGTAGGTATAATATGTTGTTGTTGTTCATTCGTTCAGTCGTCTCCGACTCTTCGTGACCTCATGGACCAGCCTACGCCAGAGCTCCCTGTCGGCCGTTACCACCCCCAGCTCCCTCAAGGTCAGTCCAGTCACTTCAAGGATGCCATCCATCCATCTTGCCCTTGGTCGGCCCCTCTTCTTTTTGCCTTCCACTTTCCCCAGCATAATTGTCTTCTCTAGGCTTTCCTGTCTCCTCATGATGTGGCCAAAGTACTTCAACTTTGTCTCTAATAACCTTCCCTCCAATGAGCAGTCAGGCTTTATTTCCTGAAGTATGGACCAGTTGGATCTTCTTGCAGTCTAAGGCACTCTCAGAACTTTCCTCCAGCACCACAGTTCAAAAGCATCTATCTTCCTTCGCTCAGCCTTCCCTAAGGTCCAGCTCTCACATCCGTAGGTGACTACAGGGAATACCATGGCTTTGACTAGGCGGATCTTTGTTGCCAGTGTGATGTCTCTACTCTTCACTATTTTGGGGCATATATTTGGATCACTGTAATGTTGAAAGGCTTTCCTTGCACTCGAATTGAGATCATTCTGTCATTTTTTTGGGTTGTATCGAAGCACCGCTTTAGCCAATTTCTTATTAATTATGAAGGCTACTCCATTTCTTCGATGTTCCTCTTGTCCGCAGTAGTAGATCTGGTGGTCATCTGATGTGAAGTGGCCCATTCCAGTCCATTTCAGTTCGCTGACCCCCATAATGTCTATCTTTAGTCTTGACATCTCCAATAACAACATCCAATTTGCCCTGGCTCATAGATCTTACATTCCAGGTTCCTATGGTGTGTTGATCTTTAGAGCATCGGATTCGTCGTTCACCTCCAGTACCGTCGGCCGCTAGCCTTCCTTTCGGCTTTGAGCTAGCTGCGTCATCACATCTGGGGCTAGTTGAACTTATCCTCTGCGCCTCCCCAGTAGCATTTTGGCCATCTTCCGACCTGGGAGTCCCATCTTCCAATGGCATACCGACATATCTCTGGTTGTACTGGTCCATTTAGTTTTCTTGGCAAGGATACTGGAGTGGTTTGCCATTGCCTTCCCCAGGGATCACGCTTGGTCTGACCTCTCTGCCACAACCGTCCCGTCTTGGGTGGCCCTTCACGGTTTCGCTCATGACATCATTGAGGTGCTCAAGCTCCAGCGCCCCGACAAGGCAGTGATCCTTTGCTGGAGAGGTATAATATATAATATATTATATATATATTATATATATATAATATATTCGCCATTATGTCAGATGACACAGAGAAATCACTTAAATCCACAAGCATGTGGACTATTTCGACAGAAAGGAGGAAACAATGGAAATGAATATTATATATTAACAATGTTGTGATATAAGGTATAATATATAATATATTATATCACAACATTGTTAATATATAATATTCATTTCCATTGTTTCCTCCTTTCTGTCGAAATAGTCCACATGCTTGTGGATTTAAGTGATTTCTCTGTGTCATCTGACATAATGGCGAATATAATTATTAATCTTCTATATTATATATTAGGTATATTACATTACAATGTTATTATCTCTATATATTACTATATTGTATTATATATATATATATATATATATATATATATTGTATATAATATACAAGATATATCATTGCATATTATATATACCAAGTGAACCAAGTTTATTCGATGTTTAGACTATAGGTCTTTCACATATAAGACAAATAAATAAATAAATATATGAACTATATTATATATTAATGAATATTATATATATAGTTATATCGTATATAATATTAAATATCATATTATATGTTATATAACTATTATAGACATTATTATATTATTATATCGGATATAACATACAATGTATTATTATATATTATATATATATATATTATATATATATCTAATAATTATATATTATTACAATAATAGAATCATAGAGTGGGAAGAGACCTGGCGGGCCATCCAGTCCAACCCCATTCTGCCAAGAAGCAGGAATATTGCATTCAAATCACCCCTGACAGATGGCCATCCACCCTCTGTTTAAAAGTTTCCAAAGAAGCAGCCTCCACCACACTCCAGGGCATATTGTATGTTATTATATTACATTATGAACATATTATATGTTATTATATTACATTATGAACATATTATATGTTATTATATTACATTATATATATTATATTGTTTATAATATGCAATATATATTATGATATATTATATGATGATATGATTATATATACTGTATGTAATATACAATGTATATTGTTATATATAATATTATATTGTATATACTATACAATAGATAATTATATAATATATTATTATATATGTTATATTAAGTTATATGTATTATGATATTGTTTATAATATGCAATATACTTTGATATATCATTGGACTGGGGTTGGACTGGACTGGATGGCCCATGAGGTCTCTTCCAACTCTATGATTTTATGATTCTATATATATTATTATATATACTATTAAATTGTATATAATATGCAATACATATTATATATATTATAAGGTTATATGAATATATATATTGTATATAATATAAAATGTATATTATTATTTTACTATTATATAAATTATGATACATTATTATATTGTATACAATATAAAATATATTATTATATATAACATATTATTATATATAATATGTTGTTATATATGCTATATTAAGTTACATGTATTACATGTTGTTTATTATGATATATTATATTATATGATTATATGAATATATATTGTATAAATATACATTATTACATATTACTATTATATACATTATTATATGGATGCTATATATTATTATATTGTATACAATATACCATATATTATATATAATATAATATTGCAAAACATATATTATTTTATGTTATAGTAAGTGATATATATTATTATACTGTTTATTGTATGCAATATATTATATTATGTTATATTATATAATTATATGATTATATATATTGTATATAATATACAATATACTAATATATATCATTATATTGTATATAATATGCACTATATATAATAAAAGAAACATAATAATATTATATTCTATATAAATAAAAATGTAATGTTCGTTTGTGGGATTAACAGAACTCAAAAACCACTGGACGCATTGGCACCTAATTTGGACACAAGACACCTAACAGCCCAATGTATGTTCTTCACTCAAAAAAATGATTTTGTCATTTGGGAGTTGTAGTTGCTGGGATTTATAGTTCACCTACAATCAAAGAGCATTCTGAACCCCACCAATGATGGAATTGAACCAAACTTGGCACACAGTTCTCCCATGACCAACAGAAAATACTGGAAGGGTTTGGTGGGCAGTGTCCTTTGGTTTTGGACTTGTAGTTCACCTACATCCAGAGATGGACTCAAAAAATGATGGATCTGGACCAAACTCTACACGAATACTCAATATGCCCAAATGTGAACACTGGTGGAGTTTGGGGAAAATAGAATCATGACATTTGGGAGTTGTAGTTGCTGGGATTTATAGTTCACCTACAATCACAGAGCATTCTGAACCCCACCAACGATAGAATTGGGCCAAACCTCCCACACAGAATCCCCATGTGGGCCACAGCAACGTGTGGCAGGGGACGGCTAGTAATAATAATAATAATCTATATAAATAAAAATGTATATATATTTATACTAGCCATCCCCTGCCACACATTTGCTGTGGCCCAGTCTGGTGATCTGGAAAATAAAGTAATGAGAAAGTGTTTGTTTCTAATATATGTAATATCTATCTATCTATCTATATCTATGGTTGGATGGCTCTTTGTCAGGAGGGCTCTGATTACATTTTCTTGCCCTGATGAAGGGAGTTGGATTGGATGGCCTTAAGTATGGGGGTTCTGTGTGGGAAGTTTGCCCTAATTCTGTCGTTTGTGGGATTCAGAATGCTCTTTGATTATAGGTGAACTATAAATCCCAATAACTACAAATCCCAAATGTCAAGGTCTATTTTCCCCAAACTCCACCTGTCTTCATATTTGGGCATATGGAATATTTGTGCCAAGTTGGTCCAGATCCATCATTGTATGAGTCCACAGTGTTCTCTGGATGTAGGTGAACTACAATTCTCAAACTCAAGGTCAATGTCCACCAAACCCTTCTAGTATTTTCTGTTGGTCATGGGAGTCCTGTGTGACTAGTTTGGCTCAATGCCATAATTGGTGGAGTTCGGAATGCTCTTTGATTGTAGGTGAACTATAAATCCCAGCAACTACGATTCCCAAATGATAAAATCATATTTTTTTGAGTGATGGTCACTCCTTGTGTTGTGAGATGTTTTGTTGCCAAATTTGGTGTGATTTCATTCATTGGTTCTTTTGTTTTTAAGGTACACATTATGCACAGAGCAGGGCTACCCTCGCAGCCAATATATATATAGATTATCTATCTATTATCTTCTATATAAATAAAAATGTAATGTTAGTTAATTATAATATTGTATTGGAGCCCCCGGTGGCACAGAGGGTTAAAGCGCTGAGCTGCTGAGCTTGTTGACCGAAAGGTCACAGGTTCGATTCTGGGGAGCGGCGTGAGCTTCCGCTGTCAGTCCTAGCTTCTGCCAACCTAGCAGTTTGAAAACATGCAAATGTGAGTAGATCAATAGGTACCACTCCGGCGGGAAGGTAACGGCGCTCCATGCAGTCATGCCGGCTACATGACCTTGGAGGTGTCTATGGACAATGCTGGCTCTTGGGCTTAGAAATGGAGAGGAGCACATCACCCTAGAGTCAGACATGACTGGACTTAATGTCAGGGGATTACCTTTACCTTTTATATATATTATTATATTTTTTATAATATGCAATATATTTTGATATATCATTGGACTGGGGTTGGACTAGACTGGATGGCCCATGAGGTCTCTTCCAACGCTATCATTCTATGATTCTATAATTCTACATATATTACATATATTATGACAGCTGTTTATTTTAACTTCTTTTATACCGAGGGTTGTATGTTGTATGTATGACTATGTATGACTATGTGTTAATTGTGTTATGTGTTAAATGTTTTGATACGGCCAATAGGCCAATCAATAAAATGTATCCACTATCCACATATATTATTATATATACTATTAAATTGTATTTAATATGCAATGCATATTATATATATTATAAGGTTACATGAATATATATATATATTAGGCCTGGGTAACAACGGAAAAATTTGTTTCTAAAATCGATTTGTATTTGGGTTTTTTTTGTTTCGATATTTAAAATAATTACAAAATTTTCCTTTTAAAAAGTTCGATATTTACGAAATTTCGTAAATGGTAAAAAATTAACGAATCGATTTCCGAAACAATAACGAATCGATTCGTTAATGGCGGACGCGACCGCGAAATACGCTAAAAAACCTCCAAAACCTTCTGAAGCTTCCCTCTCCTCTGTTGTTGACTGTTGGTGTGATATTATAATTTTTTTTCACTAATTAAACCATAAAACTGGCCCAGACATGCGGAAATAATAACGAAACGACCTCAAAACAATAACGAAACGAATACAATATCGAAATACGAAGCATTTACAAAACGTTTTTGAAAATTCGTTTTTTTTAATAATTGCTCCAGAATGGTTCGTTATTGTTTTGTAATTGAAAAAATTAACGAATTATTAACGAATTACGCCCAGCCCTAATATATATATATATGTATTGTATATAATATAAACGTATATTACTATATTTCTTATATACATAATAATATTATTATATTGTATACAATATACAATATATTATTATATATAACATATTATATATGTTATATTAAGTTATATAAATATCATATTGTTTATAATATGCAATATATTATATATATTTATAATATGCAATATATTATGATATATTACAAGGTTATATGATTATATAGTATATAATTATATATTCTATACAGTATTGTCTATATTGTATGTATTGAGGGCCCACCCCTTATGCCTATTATTATTATTACCATGCTTTACAGCGGATTGGAGGAGGGCCAATGTGGTCCCAATCTTCAAGAAGGGAAAAAAGGATGACCCAAACAACTACCGTCCGGTCAGCCTCACGTCGATACCGGGCAAGATTCTGGAAAAGATTGTTAAGGAAGCGGTCTGCAAACACTTAGAAACAAATGCAGTCATCGCTAATAGTCAACATGGATTTATCAAAAACAAGTCATGCCAGACTAATCTGATCTCTTTTTTCGATAGAGTTACAAGCTGGGTAGATGCGGGGAATGCCGTGGATGTAGCGTACCTGGATTTCAGTAAGGCCTTCGACAAGGTCCCCCATGACCTTCTGGCAAGGAAACTAGTCCAATGTGGGCTAGGCAAAACTACGGTGAGGTGGATCTGTAATTGGTTGAGCGAATGAACCTAGAGGGTGATTCTCACCAATGCTTCCTCTTCATCCTGGAAAGAAGTAACGAGTGGAGTGCTCAGGGTTCTGTCCTGGGCCCGGTCCTGTTCAACATCTTTATTAATGACTTAGATGAAGGGCTAGAAGGCATGATCATCAAGTTTGCAGACGACACCAAATTGGGAGGGATAGCCAATAGTCCAGAGGACAGGAGCAGAATTCAAAATGATCTTGACAGATTAGATGGATCAAAACTAACAAAATGAAGTTCAACAGTGACAAATGCAAGATACTCCACTTTGGCAGAAAAAAAAATGCAAAGATACAGAATGGGGGACAATGCCTGGCTCGAGAGCAGTACGTGTGAAAAAGATCTTTGAGTCCTCGTGGACAACAAGTTAAACATGAGCCAACAATGTGATGTGGCGGCAAAAAAGCCAATGGGATTTTGGCCTGCATCAATAGGAGCATAGTGTCTAGATCTAGGGAAGTCATGCTACCCCTCTATTCTGCTTTGGTTAGACCACACCTGGAATATTGTGTCCAATTCTGGGCACCACAATTCAAGAGAGATATTGACAAGCTGGGCTTCAATGGGGAGAGAGGCCGCCCACCCTCTGCAGAGAACTACATCCCCCGGCATCCTTTGCGGGAGCCAACCCGCTCCTTCCGGTCCCCCCGCCCCCTTCGCAGCCGATATAAATAAAGACCGTCGCGAAGCGAAGAAGAAGAAGGCGGAGGAGGGCTGTTGTCAGGTGGATGCTGCGGCGGAGGCCTCCTCTCCTGCAGCCCTGCCTAGATTATTCCTCAGAGGGAAAGATCTATTGGAGAGAAGGGGAGCAGTATTCCTGAGGCGGCGGCGGCGGGGAGGAGGGGGATTCTCCTCAGAAGAAGAGGCCATTTTCCCTGATGCCGAGGCATGGATAGGGCAGCGCCGCCACCGCCGAGGATGGGCGAGAAGAAGAAGGGCGGGCGGGCCAAGGAGGAGGAGGCCGAGGGAGGCCGAGGAGGAGGCCGAGGAAGAGGAGGAGGCCAAGGCGGAGGGAGGCCGGCCTGCGCGGCGCAGCAATGCGGGCAGCTGCAGGACCTCATCGACATCTCCCTCTCCAGCCTGCAAGGCCTTCGCACCAAGTGCGCCGCCTCCAACGACCTCACGCAGCACGAGATCCGCGCCCTGGAGGTAAAGGAGTCCCCTCAGAGAGATAATACATAGAGATAATATACACACAGAGGCATACACACTCCCTGCTCACCCTTGGCCAAGGGGAGGGGGAGGCTGCGCTCCGAGTTGGGGGCGGGGCTCCTCACTAGGCCCCGCCCCCTTCCCCTTAAAAAAGGAGGGGGCTCTGCAGGGTCAGGGAAGGAAGGGGCCCACTGGGAGGAGATATTGGATTGGGGATAAGGGCGGTATACAAGTCAGAAAGAAAGAAAGAAAGAAAGAAAGAAAGAAAGAAAGAAAGAAAGAGATAAGGAAGGATGGAAGCAAAGAGGAAAGGAAGGAAGGAAGGAAAGATGTAGAGAAGGAAGAAAGGAGAGAAAGAAAGAAAGAAAGAAAGAAAGGGAGGGAGGGAGGGAGGGAGGGAGGGAGGGAGGGAGGGAAAGAAAGAAAGAAGGATGGAAAGAAAGGTAGAGAAGGAAAGAAGAAAGAGAAGGAAGGAAAGAAAGAGGGAAGGGAAAAAAGAAGCAGAGAAGGAAGGAAAGGTAGAGAAGGATGGAAAGAAAGGTAGAGAAGGAAAGAAGAAAGAGAAGGAAAGAAAGAGGGAAGGGAAAAAAGAAGCAGAGAAGGAAGGAAAGGTAGAGAAGGATGGAAAGAAAGGTAGAGAAGGAAAGAAGAAAGAGAAGGAAGGAAAGAAAGAGGGAAGGGAAAAAAGAAGCAGAGAAGGAAGGAAAGGTAGAGAAGGATGGAAAGAAAGGTAGAGAAGGAAAGAAGAAAGAGAAGGAAGGAAAGAAAGAGGGAAGGGAAAAAAGAAGCAGAGAAGGAAGGAAAGGTAGAGAAGGATGGAAAGAAAGGTAGAGAAGGAAAGAAGAAAGAGAAGGAAGGAAAGAAAGAGGGAAGGGAAAAAAGAAGCAGAGAAGGAAGGAAAGGTAGAGAAGGATGGAAAGAAAGGTAGAGAAGGAAAGAAGAAAGAGAAGGAAAGAAAGAGGGAAGGGAAAAAAGAAGCAGAGAAGGAAGGAAAGGTAGAGAAGGATGGAAAGAAAGATAGAGAAGGAAAGAAGAAAGAGAAGGAAGGAAAGAAAGAAGCAGAGAAGGAAGGAAAGGTAGAGAAGGATGGAAAGAAAGGTAGAGAAGGAAAGAAGAAAGAGAAGGAAAGAAAGAGGGAAGGGAAAAAAGAAGCAGAGAAGGAAGGAAAGGTAGAGAAGGATGGAAAGAAAGGTAGAGAAGGAAAGAAGAAAGAGAAGGAAGGAAAGAAAGAGGGAAGGGAAAAAAGAAGCAGAGAAGGAAGGAAAGGTAGAGAAGGATGGAAAGAAAGGTAGAGAAGGAAAGAAGAAAGAGAAGGAAGGAAAGAAAGAGGGAAGGGAAAAAAGAAGCAGAGAAGGAAGGAAAGGTAGAGAAGGATGGAAAGAAAGGTAGAGAAGGAAAGAAGAAAGAGAAGGAAAGAAAGAGGGAAGGGAAAAAAGAAGCAGAGAAGGAAGGAAAGGTAGAGAAGGATGGAAAGAAAGGTAGAGAAGGAAAGAAGAAAGAGAAGGAAGGAAAGAAAGAGGGAAGGGAAAAAAGAAGCAGAGAAGGAAGGAAAGGTAGAGAAGGATGGAAAGAAAGGTAGAGAAGGAAAGAAGAAAGAGAAGGAAGGAAAGAAAGAGGGAAGGGAAAAAAGAAGCAGAGAAGGAAGGAAAGGTAGAGAAGGATGGAAAGAAAGGTAGAGAAGGAAAGAAGAAAGAGAAGGAAGGAAAGAAAGAGGGAAGGGAAAAAAGAAGCAATCAGAAGAGAAAATGGAAAGATGAGACAGACAGGATAAGATGAAAAAGTATAAATGTAAAAATCAAGTCTAAACAAAGTAAAAGCGTAGTACTGAAACCATGAAAAGAAAGATTGGAAGTTGAGAAAGGAAAAAATAGAAGCAGAGCAAGAAGGAAGTTAGAAAGACGGATGGTCAAAGAAAAAGGTACAGTAGAAAAAAAGAAAAGTAAAGATAAGTAATGGAAATTAAAATAGGTAATTATTAAACAATAAGCAGAAAAGGCTAAATTGAAAGGTCATGAGACAGGACTTGGAAATAAAGGTATAGTAAGTAAAGAAATAAAGTAGGAAAGTATAGTGTAATAAATGATTGGTATTTTTAAAAAATATCAGTATAAGTTATCAAGTTTAGATAAACAGTTATTTAAATAAATTAAGATAATTAAAGAATAAATATATGTAATGAAAGAACATATGGAGTGAAAACAATAAACGCAATATACAATAGAAGTAAAGGTAGAGGATGATGGTAAACATAAAGGTAAAATAATTAAAAGTAATAATGATATAACTGAATAAAAGATTATAGAATTTAACAAAATACTCATAGTAATGAATTAAATTTCAGATAAAATGATTTAATAAGATTTACGGAAGGTAAAAGAAGTAAAGATATATTAATAAATAAATATGTATGATATATTATTTTACAGCTAAATTGTAAAAAATTAAAAATTCATAGATAAAGAATGGAAAGAAAGAAAAAAAGAAAGGAAGGAAAGAAAGAGGGAAGAAAAGAAGAGCAGAGAAGGAAGGAAAGGAAGAGAAGGATGGAAAGAAAGGTAGAGAAGGAAAGAAGAAAGAGAAGGAAGGAAAGAAAGAGGGAAGGGAAAAAAGAAGCAGAGAAGGAAGGAAAGGTAGAGAAGGATGGAAAGAAAGGTAGAGAAGGAAAGAAGAAAGAGAAGGAAGGAAAGAAAGAGGGAAGGGAAAAAAGAAGCAGAGAAGGAAGGAAAGGTAGAGAAGGATGGAAAGAAAGGTACAGAAGGAAAGAAGAAAGAGAAGGAAGGAAAGAAAGAGGGAAGGGAAAAAAGAAGCAGAGAAGGAAGGAAAGGTAGAGAAGGATGGAAAGAAAGATAGAGAAGGAAAGAAGAAAGAGAAGGAAGGAAAGAAAGAGGGAAGGGGAAAAAGAAGCAGAGAAGGAGGGAAGGAAGGAAGAGAAAGAAGGAAGGAAGGAGAGAAGGAGAGAAGGAGGAATAGAAAGAGGGAAGAAGAGAAGGAAAGAAATGTAGTGAAGGAAGGAAGGAGAGAAGGAAATAAAAAAGTGAAAGAAGGAAGGAAAGAGAGAGGAAGAAGGAAAGGAAGAAAAGAAGCAGAGAAGGAAGGAAAGATAGAGAAGGATGGAAAGAAGGAAAGAAAAAAGAGAAGGAAAGAAAGAGGGAATGAAAGAGAGAAAGAGGGAGGGAAGGGAAAAAAGAAGCAGAGAAGGAAGGAAAGAAAGGTAGAGAAGGACAGAGAAGGAAGGAAAGAAAGAGGGAATGAAGGAGAGAAAGAGGGAAGGGAAAAAAGAAGCAGAGAAGGAAGCAAAGGTAGAGAAGGATTGAAAGAAAGGTAGAGAATGAAAGAAAAAAGAAGGAAGGAAAGAAAGAGGGAATGAAGGAGAGAAAGAGGGAGGGAAGGAAATAGGGAAGGGAACAAAAGAAGCATAGAAGGATGGAAAGAAAAAAGAGAAGGAAAGAAAGAGGGAAAAGAGAGAAAGAGAGAGGGAAGGGAGAAAAGAGAGAAGGGAAAGAAAAGGGAGAAAGAAGGAAAGAAAAGAGAAGGAAGGGAAGATGAGAGAAAGAGGGAGGGAAGGGAAGAAAGAAGCAGAGAAGGAAGGAAAGGTAGAGAAGGATGGAAAGGTAGAGAATGAAAGAGACAAGGAAAGAAAAAAGAGAAAGAAGGAGGGAAGGGAAAAAAGAAGCAGAGAAGGATGGAAAGAATGGTAAAGAAGGACAGAGAGAAGGAAAGAAAAAAAGAGAAGGAAGGAAAGAAAGAAGGAGAAGGAAGGAAGGGAGAAGAAAGCAGAGAAGGAAGGAAGGAAAGAAAGGTAGAGAAGGAAGAAAAAAGAGAAAGAAAGAGGGAATGAAGGAGAGAAAGAGGGAGGGAAGCGAAAAAAGAAGCAGAGGAGGAAGGCAAGGTAGAGAAGGAGGGAAAGAAAGGTAGAGAAGGAAAGAAAAAAGAGAAGGAAGGAAGGAAAGAAAAAGGGAATGAAGAAGGAGAGAAAGAGGGAGGGAAGGAAAGAGGGAAGGGAAAAAAGAAGCAGAGAAGGAAGCAAAGGTAGAGAAGGACAGAGAGAAGGAAAAAAAGAGAAGGAAGGAAAGAAAGAGGGAATGAAGAAGGAAAGGAGAGAAAGAGGGAGGAAGGAAAGGGGGAAGGAAAAAAGAAGAGAAGGAGGAAGGAAAGAGAAGGAAGAAAAAAGAGAAGGAAGGAAAGAAAGGGAAGGAAGAAAAGGAGAGAGGGAAGGAGGAAGAAAAGAAGGAGAAGGAAGAAGGAAAGGAGAAGAAGGGAAGAAGGAAAGAAGAAAAGGAAGGAGGAGAAAGAGGAAGGAAAGAAGGAAAAGAGAAAAAGAGGGAGGGAAAGAAGGAAAGATGGAAGGAAGAAAAAAAGCGGAGAAGGAAGGAAGGAAAGAAATAGGGAATGAAGAAGAAAAGGAGAGAAAGAGGGAGGGAAGGAAGAAAAGAAGCAGGGAAGGAAAGAAAGGTAGAGAAGGAAAGAGAAGTAAAGAAAAAAAGAGAAGGAAGGAAAGGGAAGAAAGAAGGAGAAAAAGAGGGAGAGAAGGAAGAAAAGGTGCAGAGAAAGAAGGAAGGAAAGAAATAGGGAATGAAGAAGGAAAGAAGGAGAGAAAGAGGAAGGGAAGGAAGAAAAGAAGTAGAGAAGGAAAGAAAGAGGGAAGGAAGAAGGAAAGAAGGAGAAAAAGAGGGAGGGAAGGAAGGATAGAGAAAAGGAAGGATGGAACCAAAGATCAAATAGAAAGAGGTAGCGAAGAAAGGAGAGGAAGAGGGAGGGAAAGAAAATAATAATATTAATAGTAATAATAATAATCTTTATTCATACCCTGCCACCATCTCCCCAAAGGGGACTTGGGGCGGCTAACATGAGGCCAAGCCCAAAAATAATAAAAAATGAGGCTGCTCGGAGTTGGATGTGGGGCTCCTTTTTCGGCCCCACCCCCTTTCCTTTAAAAAAGGAGGGGATATCTGCAGGGTCAGGGAAAGGGTTTACTGGGAGCCATTGTATTGGGGCTAATAGGGGAAGGAAGGAAGGAAAGAGGGAAGGAAGAAAAGAAGCAGAGAAGGAACGAAAGAAAGGTAGAGAAGGAATGAAAGAAAGGTAGAGAAGGAAAGAAAAAAAGAGAAGGCAGGAAAGAAAGAGGGAGTGAAGAAGGAAAGAAGGAGAAAAAGGGATGGAAGGAAGAAAACAAGCAGAGAAGGAAAGAGAGAAAGGTAGAGAAGGAATGAAAGAAAGGTAGAGAAGGAAGGAGAGAAGGAAAGAAAAAAGAAGGCAGGAAAGAAAGAGGGAATGAAGAAGGAAAAAGGAGAAAAAGAGTGAGGGAAGGGAAGAGGGAGGGAGGGAAGAAAAAAGAAGCAGAGAAGGAAGGAGAGAAGGGAAAAAAGAAAAGACAGGAAAGAAAGAGGGAAGGAAGGAGGGAATGAAAGCGAAGGAAGAAAAGAAGCAGAAAAGGAAGGAAAGAAAGGTAGAGAATGAGAGAAAGGGAAGGAAGAAGGAAAGAAGGAGTGAAAGAGGGAGGGAAGGAAGGAAAGGTAGAGAAGGAAGGAGAGAAGGAAAGAAAAGAGAAGGCAGGAAAGAAAGAGGGAATAAAGAAAGGAGAAAAAGAGGAGGGAAAGAGAGAAGGAAGGAAAGAAAAAAAGAGAAGGCAGGAAAGAAAGAGGGGAAGAAAGAAAGGAGAAAAAGAGGGAGGGAAGGAAAGAGAGAAGGAAAGAAAAAAGAGAAGGCAGGAAAGAACGAGGGAACGAAGAAGGAGAAAGGGGGGAAGGTAGGAGGAAATGAAAGTGAAGGAAGCAAAGAAGCAGAGAAGGAAGGAAGGAAGGTAGAGAAGAAAGAGGGAATGAAGAGAGAAAGAGGGAGGGAAGGAAAGAGAGAAGGAAGGAAAGAAAGGTAGAGAAAGAAGGAGAGAAGGAAAAAAGGGAAGGAAATAAAGAGGGAATGAAGGAAAGAGAGAGGGGGGGAAGGAAGGAAAGAGAGAAGGAAGGATGGAACCAAAGAGCCAAGGAAGGAAAGAAAGAAAGAGGTAGAGAAGGAAGGGGCTAATAGGGGAAAAAGGAGAGAGAGAGAAGGAGGGGGGGGGGAAACAAGGGAAGAAAGAGATGGAAAGAAAAGAAAGAGGAAATGAAGAAGGAAAGGAGAGAAAAAGGGAGGGAAGGAAGGAAAGAGAGAAGGAAGAAAAGAAGCAGAGAAGGACGGAGGGAAAGAAAGTAGAGAAGGAAAAAAAACGGGAAGTAAAGAGGGAATGAAGGAGAGAGAGAGAGGGAGAGAAGGAAGGAAAAAGAGAAGGAGGGATGGAATCAAAGAGCAAAGGAAGGAAGAAAAGAAAATGGTAGAGAAGGAAGAAAGGAGAGAAAGAGGGAGGGAAAGAAAAAGGGGGAAGGAAGTAAAGAATAATAACAATAAACTTTATTTATACCCCGCCACCATCTCCCCAAAGGGGATTTGGGGCGGCTAACATGAGACCAAGCCCAAAAATAATTTTAAAAAGGCTGCTGGGAATTGGAGCTCCTTCCTAGGCCCCGCCCCCTTCCCTTTAAAAAAGGAGGGGGATCTCTGCAGTGTCAGGGAAGGGGCTAACTAGGAAACAATATATTGGGGCTAAGCCTACACACAGGCATCATTCCGAGAGTCATATATATACACACGCATACGTACATACATATACACACACTCCTCCCCTCTAACCCTTCTGCAAGGCGAGAGGGGAGCTCCTCTGTCAGGCCAACAAGTGACCACCACTCATAAAAACCACTGAAAAACACAGCGGAAGGGATTTTAAAAGCAGCAATAATAATAATAATAATAATAATAATAATAATAATAATAATAATAATATCAAAAAAATGCTACAGTGCATAAGTAAAACAACTCCCCCCTGGGGCTAAGCCTGCGCACATACACCACCCTGAGACTCTCGTACATACACACACACACACACACACATATATATATATATAAAAGGTAAAGGTAGTCCCCTGACATTAAGTCCAGTCATGTCTGACTCTGGGGTGTGGTGCTCATCTCCATTTCTAAGCCGAAGACCAGCGTTGTCCGTAGACACCTCCAAGGTCATGTGCCCGGCATGACTGCATGGAGCGCCGTTACCTTCCCGCCGGAGCGGTACCTATTGATCTACTCACATTTGCATGTTTTCGAACTGCTAGGTTGGCAGAAGCTAGGGCTGACAGCGGAAGCTCACGCCGCTCCCCGGAATCGAACCTGCAACCTTTCGATCAACAGGCTCAGCAGCTCAGTGCTTTAACCCACTACGCCACCGGGGGCTCCTATATATATATATAGGAGGGGGATATCTGCAGGGTCAGGAAAGGGGCCTACTGGGAGCCATTGTATTGGGGCTAAGCCTGCACACAGGCACCATCCTGAGACTTGTTGACCAAAAGTGTGCAGGTTCGAATCTGGGGAGTGGGTTGAGCTCCCACTGTTAGGCCCAGCTTCTGTCAACCTAGCAGTTCGAAAACATGCAAATGTGAGTAGATCAATAGGTACCACTCAGGCGGGATCAATAGGTGCCACGCAGACTCCATGCTGTCATGCTGGCCACATGACCTCGGAGGCGTCTACGGACAACTCCGGCTCTTCGGCTTAGAAATGGTGATGAGCACCAACCTCCAGAGTTGGACACGAGTCCATTAATGTTAGGGGAAAACCTTTACCTTCACTACACACACACACACTCCTCCGCTTTAACCCTTCTGCAAGGGGAGGGGGAGGCTGCTCAGGTTGGGGGTGTGGCTCCCTTTTAGGCCCCGACCCTTCCCTTTAAAAAGGAGGGGATATCTGCAGGGTCAGGGAAGGGGCCTAGTGGGAGCCATTGTATTGGGACTAAGCCTGCACACATACACCACCCAGAGACTCTCATATATACACATGCACACACGCATATATACACAGATGTATGTGTGTGTATATATATATATATATAGGTAGCACAGCGGATTAAACTGCTGAGCTGCTGAACTCTACCCCTAGGGAAGGAAAGCCACTCCTGGAAGAATTATAATCATGGGGAAAAGGGGTCTCCACTGAAGCTTTAGCCCCAATCCTTGTTTCCACAACAAGCCTGGTTTTTCAAAATGCAATGAAAGTGAGATGAAATCTTCTGAGCACATGCAGCAAAACAAACACCACAGGGGTGTTAAACGTTCTTTATGCTGTCCAAAGCATATATGTGTGTGTCTGGAGTTACATTTAAAAATGTACCTGTTCTGACTAATAAACAAATTCAACTTAAGAACAATCTATCATGTTCGTAACTTGGGCTCTTGCCTGTATACACACATATATACGCAATCACATACGCACTCATACACACACACACATATATATAATAATTGAATAATAGAAT